GGGCAGCCCCGCCCAGCCGCCGCCGCCGCCGCTTCTCCGGCCTCCCGGGCGGGGCGTCAGTCCGGGGGGGGCGGCGGCGGCGACGGAAGGGCCCACCGCCCGCGCCCCTCCCCCCACTTCCGGCACCCCCCTCACCGGCTCTGACGGCCGCCAGCACCGCCCTGCGCAGCCCCGGCCGGCCGCCCCCGGCGCCGAAGACCACCACCAGCGAGAAGCGCTCCTGGGGCGGCGCCGGCGTGGCGGGGGCAGCAGCCGCGAGGGGGGCCATGGAGAGGCTGCCCCGGACGCCGCCGCCGCCGCCGCCGCCTCCGGCCACCACAGCCGCCGCCATCTTGCTTGGCGCCTCCGAGGCGTCCGTTGGCCCCGCCCACCCGGCGGGCCCCGCCAGCACCCTCGCCTGGCCCCGCCCCCTGCGCTGCCGCCCGCCAATGAGCGAGCGAGAGCGGCGGCTGGGCGTGGTCACGGGGAGGGCGCCGCTGGGAGCGCCCGCGGAAGGGGAAAGGGCGCCTCTGAGCATGGGCAGAGGGCGCCGCTGATGCCGGCCAGCCCCAGCGGCATGGGAGGAAGCGCACAGAACCCTTGATGTGCTGAGGGTTTACTGCGGAGTCTGAAAGAAGGCGCGCCTCTGCGGTGCTTTTTTCCGCCTGGAGCAACAACGGCCTCCCTAGGAGTGATCCGAACCCGAGAGCGCCCTCTGTGCACGTGCAGAGTTCCCCTGTCTGAGGCTGAGCGAATAAACCTCCCTCGGGGAGAGACCCTCCTCTCGATCGCAAAGCCTCCCCCCCCCACCGCCCCAGAACAACGACGGGATTTTTAAAGGAAAGCGCCCTTTGGACAGGCCGCTCGCGGAAAGGCTGTTCCTGGCCACGTGCAGAGCATCCTTCCCGAGCAAAGTGAAGGCGGCTCAGTTGGGGAGGGGGGAGAGCTTTTTCCTCCCGGACTTATGGGAAAAAAGAGAGTGGTGGGCCGAGCGCTTCTCGGTGGCTAAAGGAATCCCGCCCACCAGGGAGCAAAACATAAAGCCAAGGCCTGCAAGGGGGGAAGGCTGGGCCCTCCTGCCTCCTCCTGGGTGGAAGGGAGGCGGCACCTGCCCCCCACCCACCGTCTGCCTGCAAGGGGGCTGCAGCCCACCCGCCCAGGTGCTTGTGACTTCCATCCCACTCCCGGGGCTATAAAGCCTCGCTGAGGACTAACCACTTGCCAGCACCTGGAAACCTCGCTGGGTAGGAAGGGCCCCCTTTTGACTCAGGGTGGTTCTTGCAACGTTCGGCCTCCTCTCCCGGCCCCTTCCGGGGAAGGCTGCATGCGGATGGTCGCCTGGGACTGGGGCCCTAGGAATAAGGGGAGGGGGCTGAGGGGGGCAGCCTTCCGAGTCCTCCCAGCTGCAGGCAGGGCGGGTGGCCTTTCTCCAAGGGTTGGGCGGGAGAGGCGGACTTCCTCTGCCAAGTAGCTGCGCTCAGCCTGGTCACTTCTGGGGGTGAGGCTGCCCCCCCCTTTGCTCCCTTAAAGTGCTTGAGCAAGTGGGGTGCCATGCAGCCTTATATGCAGTGGTTTTAAATATTTGAATTATTGTAGGCATCTCTGGCTTAAAGGTTGTTCTTAACTGCCAGCTTTTGCACATTCTGAAACTTTCCTGGTGATATTTTTAAAAGTCCGGTTTTGCATGAAGACTGCCCTGGAGGGGGGGGGCGAAGGGGGAGGCAGAAAGTACTGCTGGGGGGGGTGTCCTTGGGGATCTCTGAGCATGGAGTTTTCATTACTCAAAGTGGATAACCTCAGTGTTGGTTAAGAATGGGGTTACGTAAACCAGCCCCCTCCTCCCTCCCGGCACGGATGGCGTTACCTAGTTTGGGTCATGAAACGTCCGCAGGAAAACCACCACGCGGAGAGACCCCCACAGACCCCTCAGTTCAACCCTGAGCTGCAGAGATTCTCCTCTAGGGGAAGCGGGGCGCGTGTGTATGTGCAGATCTGCATCTCGTGCCTCTGGTGGCCCTGGTGCATTTTCACAAGTGCCGTGCGCTGCCTTCCCTTCACGTAAAGCTGCTGCCTTGGGGAGCCCCATGCGAGGCAGGATGGGGGCGTGGCAGCTCCTGCGGGCACAGGCTTAGCTAGGTTTTCCCAGGGCAGCCAGCCTGAGGAGGCCTGGGGTCCCCTCCCCACTCCTGAGCAAAGGGGGGTTTCCCCCCCCCCCCAGGGTTGGGAAAAGCACTTTAAGAGGCTGGCAGGGGAAATGGGCTTTCCAGACCCTGCTGCCCCTGTTGCCTGGGTCCCTAGAGCATGCCTGCTCCTGACCTGGCCCACCTTGCAGGGCTGATGGGAGGGGCCCGGGCTGCTGCCTCTTCGCACACACACATACACCCCAGATCCCGCAGGGCCCCCCGTCTGCTGAAGAATGGACTCCGCCTGTGGGACCTTGGTGTCCTCTCAGCCAGACGGCTTTGTGGCTGTCAGGACGGCCTTTGATGGACGCTACACTCGGGCTCAGGTAAGAGGGCGGCTCGTGGCACAGGGTGGGGGCGGCCCTTCTCCCCACCTACCTGCACCCCGCCCTGCCCAGCAGTGGATGCAGCCGGGGAGCCGCTGGGGATGGACAGAAATCTTGGCAGGGCTGTTGTGCCTGAGTCTCCAGGCTTGCTAGGGTGGCCCTTCTAGATTGTCTCAAGGAGCCCCGATGGCCCCTGCCTTCCCCGCAGCCTTTCTTAGCCAGGATTCCCGGGCATTCCGTCCAAACAGCCCAGGGTCCTGGCCGTTGGAGGGGCGACTGAAGTGGATGCAGGGAAGGTGGACGGAGCTACGGGCTGCGTTATTAATTGCGAGGGGGACCTTGGAGTCCTCTTGGACCTTCACGTAAATAGGAGCCAGCCCTGTGCTGCACCCGCCCCAAAAGCCAACACAATCCTAGGCTGCCTTAACAACTGGACAGAATCGGGTCACGTGAAAGGGAATGCCACTTTATAAGGCCTTGCTAAGGCCACACCTGGATTACTCCATCCAGATTTGGTCCCCACACCACAAAAAGGTTGTTGAGAGTCTAGAAAAAGTGCAGAGAAGAGAAACCAGGATGATGAGGGGACTGGAGGCTGAAACAGACAAAGAACGGTTGCAGGAACTGGGCCTGGCTGGTCTCGGGAAGAGAAGGACCAGGGGAGACAGGAGAGCAGCCTTCCAGTATTTGAGGAGGGGCTGCCACAGGGAGGAGGAAGGGGGTCAACCTATTTTCTAAAGCGCCTGTAGGCCAGACAAGGAACAATGGATGGGAACTGACCAAGCAATAGAACAGAATAGAATTCTTTATTGGCCAAGTGTGACTGGACACACAAGGAATTTGTCTTGGTGCAAATGCTCTCAGTGTCCATAAAAGAAGAGACGTTCGTCAAGAGTCGAGATTCATCAGGTACAACACTTAATAATAGTCATTGGGTACAATAAGCGGTCAAATCATACTAGGAAACGGTCAATATACATGTGGGAGAGGATGGATGATGAGTAATGAGAAGATTAACAGTAGTAATAGCGCAGACGTTGTAAATAGTTGGACAGTGCTGAGGGAATTATTTCTTTAGCGGAGTGATGGTGTTGGGGGAAAAAACTCTCCTCGTGTCTAGTTGTTCTGGTGTGCAGGGCTCTCTAGACTCGTTTTGAGGGAAGGAGTTGAAACAGTTTCTGTCCAGGATGTGAGGGGTCTGTGGATATTTTCACAGCCCCCTTTTTGACTCGGGGTGCAGGATGAAGGTCCTCCATGGAAAGTAGTTTGGTAGCAACTGGGTTTTTCTTCTGCAGTCCTAATTCTCCTCTCTGGAGTCCGTGTCCGTCCTGTTGGGTTGCCGAGCCAAAGCAGGCAGTTCTAGACGACAGGCGACAGACTCCATCCTTCCTCTGTAGAACCGGATCAGCCGCTCCTTTGGGGCAGTTTGAGCTTCCTGAGTTGGCGCGGGAAGAACCTTCTCTGGAGAGATCCAACCTACCATGTTTTCCCCAAAATAAGACCACCCTGACTCTTAGCTGTATGGCCCCAGGAAGCAGCCATGGCTCCCCAAAGCCAGCCCTGTGACCCCAAAGGCCGGGGGGCTGGGAGGGGCTTGCGGGCCGGACTGGAGGGACCGCCGGCTCTTCCTCCCCCACCAGGACAGGAGCTATCAGATCAACAGGCAGATCGAAGGCATCAGGCCAGGGGGGCGGAAGGCCGCCTCCAAGGAGGAGCTGAGGCGCCCAGAGGCCCGTCTGGGTAGGCAGCAGGCTTTTCTCGGGGGGGGGGTCTGCAGGGGCCCCGGGGCTCCCGACCTTCGGGTCCACGTGCTGCTCCAGTGCATCAGCCGCCTGTTGAAATGGCAACGTGGGGTGGGGGCCCCCCTGGGGTCCTTGTGCTCCTGGCGGTGCTGTGGAGCTTCCAGGCCGGGTCCCATTACGGCACTTCTGAAAACGGGGTGGCCTGTCGGTCCCTCCAAGCACAAACCAAAGCAGGAAGACCCCCCTCTGCCCAGCCCTCCCCCTCCTGGGGAGAGAGGAGCGGAGGGGCTGCTCATGAGGCCAGGCCCCCCCACCCCCACGCGTGCCAGAGGCTGCCTGCTGCAGCCAGGGAGGGGGCGGCCACCCGGCCTGGTCTCTAAGAGCCCCCGTTCCCCCCCCCCCAGTGCCAGGGGGCTTCCTGTCCAGCTGCCTTTGTGCCCAAAGCTGCTGCAGGCCAGGAGGGGGCGGTGAGGTCACAAAGGGGGGCTGTTGATGCGGGAGAAGCCCACCCTGGCCCCAGCAACTGGAGGAGGCCCAGACCCCTGCCCGCCTCCTGCCGGGCAGGTGCCAATTGGCATGGCTTCCCTCGCCCTCCTGGCGCTTCTGATGGCCCCTGCTGGGATGGGGTGGGAGCCGCAGGCTGCGGTGGTGCTACCGGGGGGTAGGTGTGAGTCAGGCGAGAGGGGGGACCGCAGGGGAGCCCCCCAAATTCACCCCCGCCATGGGAAATGAGGTGCTGGCTCAGGGGGCCTCCAGAGGGCCAGTGGCACCAACGGGGCAGCTCCCAAGAGGTTGACCCCCCCCACCCCCGGAGCTCCTCTGCCCTGGGGCCCCTGGAGCAAGCGCTGGAGGTCCTCGCTGCCCCCACCTTCCGTCCTCCGTTCAACCAGGGGCCCTTGGGGGCCTTGAGCAAGGAAGGCCGGGGGCCTGGGGGAGCCCCCGCGGGAGCGCTTCTCAATGCAGCTGCCCAGGGAAGTTGGGAGGGGGCCCCCAAGCAGCACAGACTCCCCAAGCGGGCTCTGCTGGAGAAGGGGGGGGGGCTTTGGGCTCAGCCAGCCAAACCGGGTTGGGGATCCCCAGGGAGCCATTCTGAGCTTGGCCTCTGCAGGGAGAAGGCCCCAGCCCCCCAAGTGAGAGCTTCCTGAAGCTACTGCAGGATAAGCGGGGGTGCCCGGGAGGTCTGCTGTGGATGCCCCACGGCTACCCTCTCCCACCCCAGTCCTGGACCCCCCCAGCCCCAGCCGGTGCTCAGCGGTGCAGCTGGCGGAGCGACTCCCCTGCGGCTCCCCTGGGGTCAGCCACGGCCGGTGCTCCCACCTGGGCTGCTGCTTCAACCCCCAGGACAGGGTGACCCCCTGCTACTACGGCAAGACAGGTGAGACCGGAGACCGGGGGCAGCACCGGGGCTCCTGGCCAGAGACAGGCTCCTGGGAGACCCTGGGACAGCCCCCACCCCCCGGAGGGGTAGCAGCAGCTGCAGCAGACCCACAGAGGCAGCCAGTCCCCTCCTTCCGGTGCCCCCAAGTCCCTTCTGGGGCCACTTGGGGCGAGTCACGGCCTTCTGCTCAGCCGTTTCTGCTGGTTCTTCCATCTGGTGCCTTTAGACCCGCCCGGTGGGCTGGGCTGCCCCAGACGGCTGAACCAAGACAAGGCGACTCTGCCTGGGGCTTGGCAGCCCCAGTTTTCTGGGGTTACAGGGGCCCTAAGTCATTCTGTGGGCCCCCACAGCGCAGAGATGAAGGGGCCATCCCTGTGAAGGGAGAGGGGGGGCAGGGGGGGGGATGCTGCTATCCTCCGGGGAGGTCATCTTCTGCCCCTCCCCCACAAGGCCTGGGACATGGGGGAAGGGTTCTGTGAACTTAGAAGCCCGGAGACCCAGAAGGGATGGGGGGAGAGGGTATCAGGACCACGAAGGGAACTGAAGAAAGGGACCCTCCGGCCGGCTGGCTGGGCTGGACAACAGTGATGGTCAGTTGGCTAGCTGTCCCCCTGTCTCTCGGAGGGGGCCCACCTGAGGAAGGGGACCTTGGAGCCCGATCTCTGTCCCTCCCAAGGCCTTTCTGGGCCGGGGTGGGAGGAAAGGGGGCACCTGACCTTTGACCCAACAGACCCCCCCCCACCCCCCTCTCTCCCTTCCTGCACAGTGACGGCTCGCTGCGCCCCAGACGGCTCCTTCTCCCTGGCCGTCTCCAGAGACGCCGCTGTGCCGCCCCTCCGCTTGGGCTCCCTGCACCTGCTGAGCGGCCGGGGGGGGGCCCTGTGGCCCCCTCTCCAGGAGCGAAGCCTTTGTGGTCTTCCACTTCCCACGCTCTGCCTGTGGGACCATCGTCAAGGTCAGCGGGGAGGCTGTGGCCCCGGAACCGCCCTGCGAGGGGGGCCAGGGAGGGGCTGGCTGGCGGAGGCCCCCCAAGTCTCTCCCGGGGCCTTGCAGCTTCTCGTGGGGGGGGGGGCGCAGGGGGGGCTGGGCTGCAGCTTGGAGCCTTGAAATGGTCGCAGAGAGAATTGCTGGAATTTAAGCCTGCCAAGAGGGTCCCTGGAGCCCCCTTGCCCCCCTCACCCCAAGAAAGGCCCTGCTGGAAAGGGAGGGGGGACCGGGAGAGGGATCCCCTCAGCCAGCCCTTTCCGCGCCAGGAGGCCGGAGGCCACCGGATCTACGAGAACGAGCTCTCAGTAGAGGGAGGGACCCCCCGGGTGCCTTCAGGCTCCGACAGCCGGGCCAGCGGCTTCTTCAGGTGACGGCTGGGGGGTCCCTGGGCAGCAGGGGGGGGGGGGGGGGGGGGAGGGGCAGAGCCAGGGCCCCAGGCCTGGGGTGAGGTGGGGAAGGTCCCCACAAGAGGGGGGGTCAAGCCCCTGCCTGCGCCCCCTCCAGCCCTCGGCCCCCTCCCAGGGAAGCAGGGCGGGGCTCCAGCCAGCTCCGGGCCTCCTGCTGCTTCTGGCTGCGTCCTCCCGGGCCCCTTCTTGCCTTGAGCAGGGGTGGGCCTGGATGACCTCAAGGGTGCCTTCTGCCTCCCTGACTTCACTGCCACCCTCAAGGGGACCCGGCTGCCGAAGGCCTGGCCGGAAGAGCTGAGAAAAGCACACCCCCCCGGCTCCCTTGCAGGCTGACCATCCGCTGCAGCTACTCGGCCGGGGAGCCCCTCCCGGTGAGCGTCCTGCTGGCCACCCCTCCTCCCCCGGCCCCCGTTGCCCAGCAGGGGCCCCTCGCCCTGGACATGCGGATGGCTGGAGGTAGGTGCCCTTTGGGGTCAGCAGGAGGGCCCCCACCGCCCCCCCCCCGGGGCAGCCCCACCTCAGAGGCCTCCTTCCTCCGCAGACGAGAGCTACTCCTCCTTCTATGGGCCTCGGGACTACCCGGTGGCGAAGCTTCTGCACCAGCCGGTCCCCATGGACGTCTCCCTCCTCGGGAGTCGGGACCCGGCGCTCCGCCTGCTCCTCCGCGAGTGCTGGGCCACCCCGAGCGCCGACCCCCTCCGGGCACCTCAGTGGCCCCTCCTGCAGGACGGGTCTGTGACGTGGGTCTGCGGGGGGGGGGCACATGCCTTGACCAAGACTAGTCAAGCCTCCGCAGCCTCTGGCCAGAGCTTGACCGGGGGGGGGGATTGCGGTGCAGGCCGGCTCCCTGTGGGGCTCAGCACTCTTTGTTCCTGGGGGGGCCCCCCGGGTCCCATGATCAGAGCGGTTTTCCCAGCGGGGTGGAGGTCCCAGTTTCCCTGGTCCAGAAGCCCAGCCGTCCACAGGGCCAGGAGGGGCTGGTTGGCCGCGGCCCTCCCCTCCCCCCGGTCCCTCCCCCCATTTTCTCTCTGCAGCTGGCGCCGCCTGAAGCAAAGCGTGGTCCTCTCCCGGAGGCCGGTGGTGCGTGAGCTGCCGGTGACACAGGGCCACTGCCCCCTCTGCCCTCCAGGTGCCCCTACCAAGGAGACGGCTACCGGGCCCAGCTGGTGCCCCTCCAGTGGGATTCGGGGCTGCCCTTCCCCTCCCACCACCGGCGCTTTGTGGTCAGGACCTTCCCCCTCGTGGACACAGACGCTCGACAGATGCTCAGCGGCCCGGTAGGGTCGGTGGGGGGGGACTGTCCAGAGCGGGGGAGGGCTGCCCATGAGGGCCCTGGTCTCTGCTTGTGGGAGGCCAGAGCACAGCAGGGCGAACTCTCTTCCTGCCCTGAGTTCGGATTCTGAGCAGCCCATCCTGGGCACCGTGCTGCTGAGCCAAGGGGAGAGGTTTTCTGTGTGTTCTCAGAGGCACTGCCTCCCTCCCGGAACCATAAGCCCCTCTGCCTGAAGGGAGGGAGACTTGGGGGGCCCATTTCCCCCCAGCAGTTGACCAGGGGGCCGTGCGCGTGGGGGGGGGCGAGGTCCTCCCAGGGTCACGACCTCTGCGCCCATTCCCCCAGATCTACTTCCACTGCAGCGCCTCTGCCTGCCTGCCCTCCTCCCAGGAGCCCTGCGGCACCCGCTGTGAGGCCAGCCTGCAGGGCAGACGTGAGTTGGTCCTCTGCTGCGGAGGGTCCCTCTCGGGTGGGGGGGGGGGGGCTACGGGGATCACACTGTGGTGCTCACACCCAGGCACACATACCCACCCCCCTTCCTCTCCGCTCCAGGCCAGAGAGATGCCCCGGGAGGGGCTCCGGGGGAGGCAGGGCAGGTGCTGCTGATGGCTTCTGCTGGGCCCGTGGACTTCTTCAGCCAGCCCGTGCAGGCCTCCCGTCCCGAAGGTATTAAAGAGGGAGGCCTTGGGGGGGGGGGGGGGGGGGGGTCGCCTTCGCCCCAGCAGCCCCTTTGGAGGGGAAAACAACGTGGCGGGAAGTCCGCGTGTTTGGCTGCGTCGCCTGGTCTTGACCCCTGGGCGTCTCTGTCATGCACGCATCCCCACGCAGGGCACCAGAGTGGATGGGGGGGGCGATGCCTTCCCCCCTCGACCATGGGGGCTGCTGGCCCCGAGTTTTGCCTGCAGCCGCTTTTGGAGGACTGGCTGCAGCTGGCGCCCAGGAGGGGAGGCTGCCCCCCCATCGCACCTGGGGCCATCCGGGACCCCCTGCCCAGCCCTCTTTCCCCCGCAGGGTCCGGAGCGCCTGCCTCGGAGGGCTTCCTGCGATGGGAGGACAGGCTGTGCCTGGCGGCAGGGCTGGCTGCGGCCCTGGGCCTCGGATCGCTCCTGCTCCTGCTGCTGCTGCTCCGAGGGCGGAGGAGGGAGAGGCGGCCGCAGCCAGGACCCTCCCGCGCCTGAGAGAGAAAATAAACCGGCTCCTATCAACCCTGCTGGCTGGCGTTGTGGTGTGGCCAGTCTCAAGGCTCTCAGTCTGGGGGAGGGGCTGGGGGGCAGCAGGGGCCGTGCCCCTCCCCCGCAACGGAGCCTTTGCTTGCATGGAAAGCCTGGTGGTTCTTCCCCAGGAATCTTCACGCCCCTCCTCCCCTGCCCCGAAGGTGCCCCTGAAGGGGGCTCTGCCGTCGCTGGCCCTCTGCCCAGGCAAGGCCTGCCGCCTCGCGCAAGCGAAGCTGGGTGGGGCAGAAAGCGGCTCCCTCCGCCTGCAAAGGTGGCGATGCAGGGACGGGGGGCGGGGCGAGCCAGCACAGTTGCACGTGTGAGCCCGTGGTTTCAGAACAGAGAGCTCCCTGGCACACCAGGACGAGGGCAGAGGAGCTGCCCAGGACAGCCTGACACCTGAACCAGCCCTCCGTCTCCCTCTGGGCCTGTGGAGCTTCTCTTGGGGGGCCTCCTGCATTTCGCTCCCCGTGGCCTTCTTTTCGCTCCCATCTCCTGCCAAATGGCCCCATTGGGGCCAACCGTTTGGACCTCAGGGACCACCAAACTCATTATTTTAAATCCCGCGGACCAGAGACCCTGGGAAAATCCCCCCAAAAGTCTGCAGGAAAATTCCCCACCCCATTTTCCTACCGATCGATTGTTCTTTATTTGGGATCGCAGGATACCGTCTCCAGCTCCGTTCTCAGGGGGAGAGAAAGAGAGAGACTTTTGGCTTCATGCAAGGAAAGCAGCAGAAGCTGCAGAAGTCTTTCTTTCTCTCCCCCAAACGCCACCAGAACGGTGCAGCCTCTTGGAGCAGGAGGCCTTGCAGGGTCCCAAAGACTCATTTCTGGCAGAGTTTGGGGGAGAGAAAGAAAGACTTCGGCTGCTTTCCCTGCATGCAGCCAAAAGCAGAAGAAAGAAGCAGCCGGGTGGCCAGGCCAGGCGCGTGGGGCAAGTTCCTTCTCTCCGCCCTTTCCCCCCTCCCCCCACTACATGTTGTTCGCAATGCAAGCGATGCAAGCCTTGTGTTCCCACAGGCCGTGTGGGCAGTGCAGCCTTATGTTCCCGCGCAGCCTGGATTAATTGCTTTGTGGATGACATTTCTCTGCAGACCACCAAAATTTGCTCACAGACCACCAGTGGTCCCTGGCCCACTGGTTGGTGGCCACTGGCGTAGAGGGCCCGTATAAAGGCTGGGGGGGGGGGACACCGCTTGCCAGGGGGGCTTTGTGGTGGCAGCCTGAGACGCTGTCCTTCTTCCCCAGAGCAGAGGTAACCCAGAGGACTGTGCTTACACCACGCATGCACAAATGACACACAGACAACCGTGTTACAAGCGTGCAGAGACCTTCCTGCCTGGCCGCCTGTGCAGGCAGCTGAGAGCAACGGCTGTTCTTGCTCAGGGCAGCCTTGAGAACCCCGCTGGGCTGCACAGGGGGCCCTTCAGCTGCAGAGATGGGGCCGGGAGAGACCCTCCCTGGGCAGTGAAGCCCCTTGCTGGGTGGGAGGGGGGCTCGGGTTTCTTGACCCAGATATAAAAGGCTTGTCAGTCTCTCATCTCAAGCCCTGGGGTCCCAAAGGAGCTCCCCAACCAGGGAGGGGGGCCTTTTGGGGAACAGCCATCGCTGATGAAGGGCGGGGCCACCCTGGGGCTTCGCAGGGCTGGGACCCCCCTGGATGGGTGCCGAGAGCAGCCAGGCAGGGCAGCTGAAGGCCTGGAAGGAGAATCTTGCAGACAAAAGGAAGTCTTGGAGGGGCTGGTTCTGTTTGAAAGAGCGGGGAGGGGAGGGACCGGTTCTCCAGCAAGTGGCGTGTTTATTCCAAACTCGTCCCAGGACCCAGACGAGCCGTCTAAATCCGGGAAATATTTTACTGAAAGATGCCAGGAGAACCAGCTTCCTTGGGTGGCTGCAGGCTCCCTCACCAGGTCGAGGGGAGGCGGCTTTTGTTCTGGCACTAAGGACCTCGCCATTCACGGGTGGAAGTGGCCGTGGGTATCCAACTGAAGCGATGAGAGAAGAATGACCGAGAAAAGGGGAACCAAGGTGGGGACGCACAGCGACTGCAGCGATCCAATGGCGACCCGAAGCAACAGGCGGGGGAGCCGTCCTGGGTCTCGCTTCGCCCCACCCCCACCCCCCGCCCGCCCCCTAAGAGAGCCGGCTTTGCGACGGCCTGCAGCCTCGGGGCTCCTGCCCGCTGGGGGAGCAGGAGGGGCCGGGGCCGCACCCACCTTTCACGGTCCCCAAGAGCCCGAGCGCCCCCCCGGCACCCCCGAGAGCAGAACTGCGCCGACTCGCTCGGTCCCTTCGAGGCTGCCCGGGAAGGTTGGCCGTCCGCAGGAGAGGCGGCCCAGGGCGGGCGGGCGCTGGCCGGGGTGCTGAAGGCGCCTTTCCCCTCCCCGCGGCCTCCAGGGCGAGCCCCGCCTCTCCGGAGCGGCCAGGCAGGGCGCGGGGGCCAAGCCGCCCTCAAGGCCCACCCCGCACCCAAGGGGGGGGGGAGGCTTCCCTCCCATTGCAGCTTCCTTAGGCTTACAAAACCCTCAGGGCCGCCTGGAGGAAGAAAGGGAGGCGCGCGGGGGGGGGGGCTATGAGGTCCGCCCCCCTTCGCGTCCCCCTGGGCTGCGGCTGCGGCTTTAGGAGAAACCAGGCGGGGCTTCGCTGCAGAGCGGACGGGCGCCTCCCCCGTTCGCCCGCAGCCCGGCTCAGCTCAGGCCTCAGCAAGAGAGGGAGGAGGGGAGGGGATGGGGGGGGAGGGACGAGAAGGGGCCAGGGCGGCGCACGCGCCCTCGACTTCAGCCAGGCTGGCCAAGGAAAGCAAGCGAGTTGGGGCGGGAAGGAAGCGCCCTTGTGACTGTCCCATGGACGCCTGGGAAACGTAGTTTGCCTCCTTCCGCCCCTCAAGCCTCGGGAAATTAAGCACCCGCTCCCCAGAATGATAAAGTAGCGGGCAGAAGAGCTACCGCTGGCTTTTGACAGACCCCTCGCATCCCGGACAGAAACTGTTTCAACATCTTCTCTCAAAACGAGGCTAGAGAGCCCTGCACACCAGAACAACTAGACACAAGGGGAGTTTTTTCCCCAACGCCATCACTCTGCTAAAGAAATAATTCCCTCAGCACTGTCCAACTATTTACAACGTCTGCGCTACTATTACTGTTAATCTTCTCGTTACTCATCATCCATCCTCTCTCACATGTATATTAACTGTTTCCTAGTATGATTTGATCTTATTGTACCCGATGACTATTATTGTTATACCTGATGATTCTTGACTCTTGACAAATGTCTCTTTTCCTTTACGTACACTGAGAGGATTTGCACCAAGACAAATTCCTTGTGTGTCCAACCACACTTGGCCAATAAAGAATTCTATTCTATTGGCACTGCCGCCCAGAGTCCGGGAGTGGCGTTATAGCAATTGGACAACTGGGCATTGCACAGCCGCTGACTCCCAGGTTGGCAGGCTTCGCTCCCCTCCCTGGGGAGGCTTTGCTGCTGGGCTGGGGGTGGTCATGGCAACCGTCCCTTTGGCTCCCCCCCCTCCCCTTGTGGCAGCCACCTGGGCGGGAGCGAAAGAATCGCCTGCCTGCCTGCCTGCCTGGAAGGGATGCCCGGAGGCTGCAGGTGGGAGTCAGTCACTGTGGCCAAAGTGGGGCGTTGAAAGAGGGGCTCCAGCAACGACGAACGGACCCCCCCCCCAGGCCCTGCAAAAGATTGCCACAGGTTGCCCACCTGACTTAGCTGCACTTCCTCCTGAGGAATTCTCTTCAAATGAGGAACAGTTTTAGGTCTTTTAGATTAGATTTATAATTTAGATTTAGTTTATAATGTGTTCGTGATCATGATTGTAGATAGTTTTATTGCCCAGAGTCATCTGCTTGTGGGATGAGCAGCTATAAATTAGATAGAGGCCCCCCGATTGTCTCCAATGAGGCTGGGGGGCTTTGGGGCACGGTGCCCATCTCCCCTGGGGCAATGGTGCAGGCAACAGCCAAGACGTCCCTTCTGGACTGGCTCCGGACACAGCCTGGCCCCGGGGCACCCTCGTCCTCCATTGGGAGGGCTCTCATGCCAGCAGAGACCAGCGGGGTGGGGGGGTGTTCAGGCCATGGGAAATCCTACCTGTGAATCAGAGCTGGAGACAAAAGGGGCCCCTTCCTTCCTGGGATGTACCTGTCTGAATGGAGGGCCACAGAGAGGAAGGGCCGCACTCCCTGGCCTGCAGGAGATCTGAGGGGCCCCAGGGCCGCTTCAGAAGAAGGGAGCATGCCAGGTGCCTGGCCGGGTGCCCCCACCGCCTTCCACGCCCTGGGCTCCTCCTCAGCCGTGGAGGTGAAGAGCCAGGAAACCTGGATGGCCCGGCTGGCTGGATGCCCACGGCTACGCTCCTCATTTCAGGAGAGTTCAAAGTCCTCACACAGGACCGGAGATAAAGATAAACTGGTCCTTCTGCCTTTAAAAAATGACACCCGTGCATTTTTAAGACATTTCAGCAGAAAACTCCTTAATGAACCCCAAAGGATGCTCTGTTTTCGGTCAGGATCTGGAAAGGGATAGTTTGAGCCAGGAAGACCCCACACAGACACCCCTCTTCCTCCACAGCCAGCCCGTTCAGGAGCTGCTACTAGGGGTGGCCCAAAGAGCGAGGGAGAGCAAGAGGAGGAACTGTAGCCTTTTCTCTGGTAGTATCACACTACTAACTAGAGCATACAAAACATTTGCTAGACCAATACTCGAATACAGCTCATCAGTCTGGAACCCACATTACGTATCTGATATTAGCATGGTTGAGAAAGTCCAGAAATATATCACAAGAAGAGTTCTCCACTACTCTACTTGTTGCAGAATACCTTATGACACCAGACTCGAAATTCTAGACCTAGAAAACCTAGAACTACGCCGCCTTCAGTCCGATCTTAGTATATAAAATCATACATTGCAATGTCCTACCTGTCAATGAATACTTCAGCTTCAACC